GACAGCGGAAGTCACGCGAAGATTGGAGCATGCGCGCTGGAGTTTCTAGAAGGATCATGACTTATCGAGGAAGTCACGTGACGCTGGTGGCGCATTGGCGTGTGCGAGGAATTTCTCGAATGATCATGAATTTCCTTGTGCGTTCGAGACGCCCTCTTCTTTAGTTTATAAGCCTGGCTGAGAAACCAGCGATAGATAGATAATTAAAGAAGCGAACAGTAATGACGGTAAGTAAAGTGTGTGAATCACTGTGATTTATAGCGTGTGTTATAAAAGTTGTTAAGTTTAAAGTGACGAGGAACGTATTAACCGTGGAATAAACTGGTTTAATCAAGAAAGGACTTGTATCGCTTGGGAAAGAATTTCTACCGGAAATTAACAAACAAGCAGATACGTAAAAAGTGCGATAAAACTGAAATAATCTTTCAAGTATTTTGTAATTTATATTTTTTTTATTTGCTTTCTTTCACAAAAGCATATTATCACGGAAGCTCCTTAATAAATAATGTTGTAAAACATATTAGTTGGAAAATATTGATAATCAGAACTTTGAATCCAGAACTTTCCACCTGGGGGAAGGAATTAAAACTCTGTAAAAAAAACAAAATGCTTAAAATATTTCAGTGGGAATTTTAACACTGATTGGACCAGCACGTGTTATATGAAAGTTGTGAATAGCTTCCTACGAAATCAAATGTTAAAAAATTCGATTTATTCCCAAAAAAAAAAATGGACCAAGAAGTAATGTAAGTATACAATAGAACTTATACCATTTCAAGGTCACCAAGAATACAGCAAATGTACAAAGGAATATTTAATGATTAGATAAATTTCTGATTAAATTTAAACCCCCAGTCTGTTTTGCCTTTATATCTTTCTTTTCATCCTCATTTATTTTTGTGTAAAAGTATTAGATAATGATAATATATGTGACGTCAACCGATAAGACTACACTTCTTATACGTTATTTGTCACTAGATGACGCTAGTTCATGCCAAGACATTCTAAAAATCATGTGTTTAAATTTTAAATGAGTCATCATACAGCTTTAAAATATTTCTTACCAATAGCAACAACCAGCATCAGAAAAATTTACACATTTCGTTATTATTTTTACATTTTAATAACACGCAAAAGAGACTAAATAAAAGACGAACGACATCTGTAGATAGGTGTTAATAATAATATTACTCTTGAGAGATTTTAAAATTACTTATTTTATTTGAAAGTAATTAAGTTGCTGTAGCGTAAGATTCACCATTTGTATGTTTGTTTGAAGTTAAGCACAATGGGCTATCTCTGCTTTGCCCACCACGGGTATCGAAACCCGGTTTCTAGCGTTGTAAGTCCGAAAACATACCGCTGTGCCACTGGAAGACAAGATTCGCCGTAAGGGAAAATAATTATTTAATACTCCTTCTGGGAACACATTTTATTCACAGAAAGTAAGACATGAGTAAAAATGTAAACTTCTTCATATAATTAAACATAAATGGCAAAACTATTGCTTTAATCACAGTGAATAAGGGAAACGTAACATAAACCTTTATGCCATAATTTATTATTTTTATGTTACCCACCAGTGGTGACAAATCGACCGGAGCAGTCAACATTTTCTGGGTAGTCGCAGTAGTACATGTCAGGGTTGTTGTTAAAAACAAGCCCTCGTGGACATTCTCCTGTTTTTACCACACCATCCCAGCAATCATAGTACCTCTCGCAGAAACGTTCGTGGGGGAACTGTCCTCTGGTGGCAACGCAGCCAAGTGGATTGACAATTTGTCTTCTCTGTTGGGCTGGTACTAAAACTAAAGCAAGTATAATGTGATGTAAAATTTACGTGTTAAGATGTAAAAATGGAATCATAATATGTTACTAATAGATACAATCAGTGCTCTTGGTATCAAATGTATAAATATTTGACTTGCATGAACAATATCTACGTATATTACTTTTTTTTCTGTAGAAGTAGCGATGCTACATTGTATTTAGATCAGAAACTCTCTTTGTTTTTTGAAACACTGAAGTGAGCTCTTGATATGAGCAGTTTAAATACTGTTCCAAACTTAGAAGTTTTTAAAACTGAGACTCAATTACATAAACTTTATTTAGATTTTCTTCAAATTGACCGAATGATGTTTTATAATTAATTTTACAACCGATCTATAATATTAAACGTCTATTAAACAAGATGTAGGAATTTAAGTTTCTATTGAAAACTTACTTATTACAATTTATAGCTTGTCGTAATTAAACTAAAAATAGCTTTTGTTGGTTAAAGTCTTGCAATTCAGTTTACCATAATTAAACCTTCACTTTCATGTTTTTGTCTCCTTTAGAATGATTTAATAGTAACAATCAATGTTTCTATTATATATATTCTTGTAGTTAAACAATTTGAAGGGTGAAACCAGGTGCTAATTGTATCTCCTTCACCTCGCATCATAATATTATGGTTTGTTATGAATTTCGCGGTAGCCGTCCCTAATTTAGCAGCTAGTCATCCACCCAGCGCCAACTCTTGAACGAATAGTGGGATTGCCCGTCACATTATAACACTCCCACGGCTGAAAGGGCGAGAATGTTTGGTGTGACGTGGATTCGAACCCGTGACCCGCATCTGTTTGTCGGTATTCAGATTATTTTATGCAATTTTAAATATTTTAAACAGGAAGACAATATTATTAAAGTTATGGCATTTTCAACAAATGTTCTATATATATTTGAGTACCTTTAGATCCAATTGCAACAAAGTAAACAAAATCAATGATTAATGGTTAAAATGTTTATACTGTTACGTATCTGCTCGTTTGTTAATTTCCGGTATAAATTCTTTCCGAGG